CGTTACTTTCGCAATTTTGTTCTCCTTTTTTTTTCGTTAGTTTTCGTGGCACTGTCGTCGATCTACCCTAATTCTCTCATTCTCTCATTCTCTCTCGCCTCGTCCTCTCAACTTGCTATATATATTCACACGATTTTGTGCCCTCATGTAATGTGTGTGTACGCGTGTAGTAATCGTCCTATTTCAGAAAGGTGCGCGCGTGTCATGCTTCTTAGATATTCCCAATTTTCCCTCTCTCCCTCCCTTTCCTTCCACATTTCCTTACTCAAACGGTACATACACACACGTACACCCTCCCTCTGGCTCGCTCAGACACACACGTTCGCTTCGTTAATTATCCCGTTGCGAACGAAACGTCCACTCGACCCAGAAAGGTGTGCCCACCTCTCTCCTACTCCTCCTCCTCCTCCTCCTACGACGACGAGTTCGAGGGGGTGAGCGCCACCCCTCAGGAAAATAGCTCTACTTCACGGCACGATTTCTCCTGGCTTTTGCTATTCCCTCTTACTGAACGGCGCTCCTGGGAGGCAGGAACGTGAAAAAGAACGGAATTGCCCGCGGTCCCATCGATTCTCTCGCCTGGTTCCACCGCTCTTTTCATTTCTTTTTTTTCTCCCGCGGAGAGAGACTCCAAGGCGACCGTGTTTCATCGATAAAAGAGGCTCGAGCACCGTGTGCTCCTGGATTCTTTTTTTGAACCAGCCTCCGCGGAGTTGCACGAAATTATCGTTCGATCCTTTCTTTCTCATTGGTTCTCCCTAAAGTCCTAGGGAAGTAATTTTGTGAAAAAATCGTTTAAAAGACACGTTGCAAATTTATTTCAAAAGTTTCTAAGAGATTTCTCAAAATTTCTGAGAAAATTCAGTTTACAGTAACCAAGTGTACTGTTTCGGACTGAGAACCGACGGGACCGCGGGGATGTTGTCAAGAATGAAAAGATCGTAATGGGATAAGGGCTGCGAAAGGATCGTGGGGGAGGGAATTAACCTAAGGGAGTAGGGTGAAGCACGGAAACTCGACAGGGAAGAAGCCGGGCGAAGAGAGTGGAGAGAGGCTTGGTCTCGTCCTCGTCCAATCCCGGTGACTATTCGCCGCGGGAACTCGAATCTCCTGACGAGAAACACGACGGCACGCCGATAATCGTTCCAGGCTAACTTTCTAACTAACCTCGAACGTGAAAGTTAATCAGCAACGGTGGCGTGGCTAAACGGAGGATCGATCATGCCGATTCGTTCGAATCGATAGGAACTCGAATATCTCTCCGCTCTTACTTTCTAATAATTCCATCTTCGTAAGCCAACGTTATTGCACACACTTTTTTCCTTCGTTTACTTGAAAAATTAAGAAAAAAAAATCAGGCTTCGTTCGAAAAATTAATCGATAAACTGTATATAAAAAATCGTTGGTCGTATATCGATCACCCGAGCGACGAATAACCGAACTAAAAAACAGAAAAGAAAAAGTAAATATCCCGTGGCAAAGGGGCTCCCCGAAGTTAAAGTTCTCACCCTGACAAGTTAATCGTGCTTAGAAAGAAAGAGAAACGAAAGGAGAGAGAGAGAGAGAGAGAGAGAGGACAATCAGGATGCGTGCACACGCTGAAAATGATTTGTTAAAAGAAGGTCATAGGAGGATCTCTCGAGAGAAAGAGGATCCATCGGAAGCGATCCTTACAGGACGCGGAACGAAGAGGAACAAGGGCGGCGTACGCGATCGAGAAAAAACGAGGAAACCGAGGAGAAATAGCGAAATCTGCTCTCCTAATCTCCAAGACCAGCCGGAGGAGTGGTTACTGTTTCTCCTTGAGTCCGCCGAGAAGAGCGTGGCTCTCCATCGTCGCGCTGAGGTTGCTTAGATTGCTCAGGTTCCCCAGATTCCCCAGGTTCCCTAGATTCCCTAGATTCGGCTGATGAGCGTAATTCCTGATCTGATGCAGGCTGATCAGTTGATTCGGGAACGAGGTCGTGTTCTGATTGCTGCTCGTGGTGCCCGACGTGACACCGGACGACGAGGACGCCGGCGATGATTTCTGCGTCGAGTTGAACGCTTCGTAGAGGTACGGCCTGGAGGCTGGATGATGGCTGCCTGGGTAGTGAAGGTGGTTCAGCGGGTTCAACGGATGTTGCATAGAGGAGATCGAGTTTATCGAGATAGAGGAGATCGGTGTGAACGCTGAGCTACTGTTCGGATGATGATTCGCCCCTGGTTGCGGTGTCTGTTGCCTCGAGTCGTTCTCTATGTCTTTGTAATCGCCACGGTGTCCGTGACCTGGTAACAGCATCTCCGGATTCTGATTCTGATGGTAGTCGGTGTGATGATGGGGCAACCGATCGTGTAGATCGCTGATCATCGAGTCCGGGCTAACTTTCGGCCAGTAGTGATCCTGATGATGCGCCGCCATCGCGTGAATCGACGGCCTAAGACCGGTACCGATTATCGGCGGTCTCTTGTCCGTTCTCTCCGCGTGTTTCTGCATATGCTTGGCTAGATAGGTCTCCTGTGTGTAACTCTTGCCGCAGTACTGGCAGATGTGCGTCTTAAGGTGCTTGGACTCCTTGTGCTTCGGTATGTGCTCGAGCAGGCTAGGCTCGTCGGAGAAGCACTTGTAGCAGGAGTTACACTTGTACGGCTTGTCGGTCTGGTGGCAACGGGAGTGGCTCTGTAGGTTGCTCAGCTGGCTGAACGCCTTCGTACAGCCTGGATGCCGGCACTTGTACGGTTTGTCGCCGGTGTGCGTGCGGATGTGCTGCTGTAGGTGGCTCAGTTGGGTGAACTTCCGCTGGCAAATCTCGCAGCGGTACGGCTTGATGCCCAGGTGGATCCTGGTGTGCTGGGACAGGTACGAGGAGTTCGCGAACGCCTTCGCGCACTGGGTGCACTTGTAAGGCTTCGCCTCGCGCATGTGGATCTGCGTGTGGAGCTGCAGGTCCGCCTTGCTACCGAAGATCTGTCAACAGAATCGATAGAACGGGTGTTAATTGCGATACTTAACAATACTTACAGGTGTCGTCGTGTGAATATGTTCGTATTCTTCGTTGCGTACGGTAGTGTCCGAGAAGCGCCAGGACGCGAGGGTTGCGAAAGGGAAAGCGACGATCGATGGAATTTATCGTGAAAATTCCGTGGATAGGAATGTGTCAAGTCTCGAAGAGCTTGAAAACTTCAATTATGTGTTCGTCCTATCACGAGCTAATCGTTTTACCAAATAACCAGGTATACGAATTTTTCCATTTCCCAGAAATTAAGGAGCAGTGCACTTCTCCTTTTTCTGATCCGTTAAATTATTCCTTCCTTTCTACTAAACCAAAGAACCAATTTCTCCCTAAAATAACCATCATCGGAGGATCTTAATCGTCACTCGAGGGGTTTTACCAATAATTTTATTCATCGTAAACGGTATCCCATAAGAGGATCGCGGCGCAACGTCAGTAGCCTTTCCTTAGCGGCGTCTATTGCAAGCCGCGATTAACCGAATAATGAAAGAACCAATCGACAGGTGAAGGGGTTCCATCGTCGTCCTGTAACTTGTCCGGTCTCGTTCCTTCCATCGTAACCGGCTGCTTGCTCCGCTTCCTCCTCTCTCTCTCTCTCTCTTTCTGTGAGACGGCGCATTAGCCGTGCGTCGTGGTATATTTATAAATAAATAAATGTAAACGAGGACTGGCGGTAGCCAGAGCGTACGTGTAAAGCGGGGAGAGGATGACCTTGTCTATCATGGCCTAGCCTGCAGGCATACCTGACTGACTGGCTTTAGCTACCGCATAGAGATCTCTCTCTCTTTTTCCGTCTCTCTTCACCTCTTCCTCTCTTAATTCCCCCTTCCATCCAATCCTTTTATTTCGTCTCTCTGTCCGTCTTTCGCCTTCCTCTACTTTTATATTTCTTCTTCTTCTCTCTCTCCTTTTTGTTCCTGCCCTCGGTGTGTCTCGGCTCTCTTTGTACGGTAGTTCTTCTCGTTCCTCGTCGGTAGCCTTAAAATACCTCTTCTTTCTCTTTCTCCTTACAGTTTCGTTTCTTGGAACGAACAGAGACAGAGAAATGCTCATTACCGCCGCCACTGATGATTCCTATCAATACTGACTCCGTCGGTGTTCTAATTTGTCCGATCTATAATTGATGCCCCGGCGAACGAGGAGGAAACAAAGTAACTGGAACTTCCGGTGATTCTACGAATCATTTTCTACACGAATGACCAATTTTTGCCCCGACGATGGACCGGTTTCTTTTTCTCACCGAGCTCCACGGAATCGTATTAAGACAGAGTTCTAAAAATCTCTCGTTCGAGAGGTTGCCGAATTTCTATTTCGATCCTAAAAGTAGACAGTGACGACGATCATCGGGCAAGTCTCATGATAATTTGTCCACAGATTGATTCCTCGGAAGAATGAGAAGAGAGAGAGAGAGAGGAGAGCAACAATGTAATTCACTCGGGTCACGAGATTCCATCCTGGAAATAACGACGATGCGTGTTCAGACTTCTTGGAAGTGGAGTGATCGAGGGACGAGAGAGGGTATCGCACCAGGAGGACGCGGAGGAATCGTGGAAACTATCCTGGACACGCGAGGAACGATGTAAAGGCGGTCGGTTTCCTGGCTGATCGTCGATCGCTCGAGATTGTTACGTAAAACGACGGATTCCTTTCTCGGATCACTCTGCGCCACGCCCCGGGATCACAGCACAGATCCATGGCCTTCCAAGGATCACGCGTTTCCGTCTGTGTCCACGATCTCGATCGGACAATGCTTATGCACTTCATTATGCGAGCGTAATCGATGAAACGAATGTTCGAACGTTCGTCCAACAGGCTAATATTCGATAGATCTCTGCGATACTTTACCCGATTTGATTAATCCGATTTTTCATCGATCGTGAGTGTGATTGCAATTTCAGAAGAATCGCATGTGTTAGTTTTCCTTCTCAGTATAATTGGAGTTTAAATATCTTTGAAATTTCGAGCGAAATTGAACAATGTTCGATCTATTTTCAAATTCTCAAAACTCAGATAATTAAAAGATTGCAAAATTAATCCTGTAAGAATTACGGTTGATTTAGCAAGAATTAACGATTATTATAAAGAATATTCAGTGGAATTTAAAGGGTTAAATCGATCGTTTTATCATCCCACCTCACAAAAGTGTACACAGACGCGCTTAATTTTGGCTAAGAATACTGGCTCCACTCGAGCTAGACGCACACGTTTCCCAGATTCGACGACGGTTTTCGAAAGCAAGCTGAATTGGGTCAGACTCGTCGCACAGTCACCGAAAAAAAACTCGAGCAGATTATCGTCGTAATTTCGTCCACGCGGCGAAACTGACGGCGCAGCCTCCGGGCGGAAGTGTCTTCTCCGTGGATCGAACCGTTACCAAAGCCTTACGACCGTTATGATAATAATTTAGCCAAAGTCCAAGTAGGCAGTCGAAAAAATAATAACCGATTATTTTAAGCGTTAACTTCGAAAAACCAAAAAAAAAAAAAACCTTTCCAATTTCAATTTCCGCGGATTTATCCTGTCGACGGAATCACAAAACGCAAAGTGGTACATAATATCGTGGAGAAATTGATTTACGAGTAGGAAGAGGAACACGACAAGTGAATCGACGCGCTTCAAACCTGCTGCTCGATGATCTCTCGCGAGAGCTGCATTGGATTTTCCCTCCTGATTCGAATCGCGAAATGATCCAAGCGGAACGGATAAATACGCGAGATTATCTCTCGCGTGCGTAAAAGAAACGCGAGTGCGAATCTACCGGTGTCTGTATCACACTACGATTATGCTTGCCCCTCTTGTTCTCCCGTTTTTCACAGACAGAATTTTTCGGCGACGGTGGATATGTATGTAACGGCGGTGGAGAAAGAGCGGCGTAAGCCGCGGGAAAATACGATTATAGGAACACGAGACAGGCAGGAAGATGAGCTTCGTTGGAATTACAGGATTGCAGAGGGAAGATAAAAATATGGGTCCTAGAGTAGAGAGAAAGGGGGAGCGGGCGAGACGAAGGGTTCAGGGATGCAACGCCAAAGGGCAAAGTAAAATAGACTTCTACGGAGGAGGAGGACTGGTTGTTTCATAAACCGTGGACGCTTATCTCGCTTTGGAGTATAGTCGCTGGCTAATTGGTGCGAAACGTGTTTTCCTTATGGTGAATAAGGGTCAGGGGTCAGTAGTATAAACGTTAGAAATGTGGTGCAGAGCGGTGAATACGTGGATAAGGATATTGAAGCGGTTGGAGGATGAATTGAAAACTGAAAATGTCGACGGAGAAGTTGGAGAGTGGTGGAATTGAAGAGCCAACGTAGCGGGTGCTTCGAAAATATGTTAACACTTGTGTGAAAGTAACTTTTTTAGAGAAATGGAATTATCATTGGTGGGGTAAATTTCTGTGATACGTTGATTGCAATTTTTACGTGAAAATTGGGGTCTAAGGTGTTCGATTAGCGTGCTGATAATTCTCAGAAATGGCAGTGGCGATTTTTCAACCAAAAGTTTCACACCAACACTGAATCTGCTCTGAATTTTTCACAAATTTGCAATTAAAGTTGCACGTGATTAACATCAATTCACTTCGATTTGCTACAGATTTGGGTAGAAGAAAATTTCCGAACAATCTCGATGCACAGTAATCCGAAACCCACCGCTGTTAATCCATAGAAATTTATTTACGTAGGAAAACGCAAAACATTTGTAGAAGAAGTTCCACTCTTAAATCCGTCTAAGCTCGACTGAAACCCGGTTGTTACTCAACAGAAATCGACGTAGCGTTCAGCCGTGGAGCTAAACCGGAAGCGGATCATGTAACCAACCTCCCTTATCGAACTAATCTGTCCACCGTCTAACGTACATTGAAAAGAAAAGGAGAAACGAAGAAGAGGGACCTACCTCTGCCTAGAATAAAAAAAAAAAAAAAAGGAATCAAAAATGTCGGACATGGATACCGTTAGTCGTTTCGCGATATCCGCGAGATCTTCCTTAATTCTTTTTTACCAGCCGCACACACAGATCCTCCGAGGAAAGAGAAAGAGAGAGAGAGAGACTCGACCTCGAGAGGCAACGACTACGATCCTTTTACTCGTGATTTATTCGGCGATGGTTGTTGCGTGTGTCTTCAACAGCTGACTTGCCACGTCCTTTAACGGCCTGGGACCAGTATTTTTTATTTCCTCCTTTCGAAACGCGTCCTTGCCGGTGTCAAGTTCGCACACTCAGGGCCCACGTAACGCGATCGTGTTCTCTTCTACCTTCGATTCCTTCTCTCTCTCTCTCTCTCTCTCTCACCTTCGTTAACCTCTTTCCCGCTCTCCACGGACCACGATTAATCGAGAGAGGATTAAGGAATCGAGGTAGGAAATTCAGCTGGAATCACGCGGAATGTCGATTAAAAACTGCTCAACGCGCGCTCGCGAGCACTCTGTGATTACGCCTCTCTCACTTTGACGATGAGGAGAGGAGGAAAGAAAAAAAGATCGCGACCCTTCACTCGGTGAATCCACGAAGAATTGATTATTCGTTCTGATGTAGCTTCCTTTGTTTAATGAAGATGTATCTTTTTTTTTCTCTTCTTCTTCTTCTTCTTCTAAATGAGTCTGGATCCGAAATAGCCTGATGATAGCAACGTCATGATTTTTGGACGGATACACGATTTCTTTTTGTCTTCTCTCTCTCTCTCTCGAGAGAGAAACAACGCTCGTAAAAAGAACGTGGTCACGGGGGAAAGCAATCGTAAAGTGGCTAATTAACGACGCTTGGAGACTTTAATGCTCAACTAATTTCCTACGAGACGCGCCTTTTTAACCCTCACCGGTGAGTTTCTTCTTTTCGTGAAAATTGCGAACGATTTGAAAAATGTGTAAATAGTGCGAGGGTTCTCTTTCGATTCTCAGTTGGACAGGCCTGCTGGACGGAACGTTTCTTTCGCGCGCGAGTTATTACGTCGCGGAGGATGAGC